CTTCTGGGGTCTGCTGTTTTTATGATAATACTAAGACACGATTTGCCTTTGTAACTATCATTACGTCGATTTTTCACAGGTTACAAGACTTTTGATATCAAAACAGATTGAATGCAGCAGACTCGAGAAGCCGGCTATCTTCTATTAAGCCAGATATTAAAGAGATTTGCAAAAACACAGAGCAACGCCATTTTTCTCAGTGAAGTTTTGTAAAGTTATTTCTCATAAAAACATGGTATTTACGTTAACATGTAATAAGTGTGTTATTGTTATTATTAAATGAATTAATGTCTAAAATATTTCAGTTTTAATTCTAATACGAAAAATATCAGATAGCTATAACCCACCTAAACAAAAGCTCTTTGGGACCCTCATTAGTTTTTAAGAGTGTAAAGGGTGCTGAAACTTCTTCTGTCTGAGCACTGCTATTCTAAAGGAAGGAACTATCACGCTTGGAGGAATATGTGCCAGGCATGATTTGCAAGCCAATGTACATACTTTGTAGAGGGGTCCTTCTAGAGCAGTGGTCTCTATAGGGGGCCATTTTGCCCTCCAGGGGACATTTGGCAACGTCTGGAGGCACTTTTGGTCGTCACAGTTGGAGGGCTACTAGCATCTAGTGGAGAAGGCTGAGGACGCTGGGGAACATCCTACCGTGCACAAGATGACAGGGCAGCCCCACAGGGAAGCATGTGCCCCACAAGTCAGGGATGCCTGCTTGAGAGCTCTCACGTGAGAGGCACTCACTCTACCAAGCGTCCAGCGTGTAACATAGGACAGGAGTGGGTGCTAGAAAGGGGACAGCTCAGGGAAGAACTGCTGCTTCCTCATTACCCTGAGGGCAGCAGGCTCTCAGCAACTCCTCCTAACTCAAATGCTTTCCAATCCCATGCTGATTATCCTCTTTGCAGAGCCTCCATCTTTCCTAAACACCTGGGCTCTAAGCAAAGATGATGCTGAGCGGCTGGGAATAGAGAACCAAGACGTGACAATTCAAAGCAGGAAATTCCATTTCCTACATAATAGTTACATACGAATTTCAAAAAATAATTTGAAGTACTATTCCTTTGGGTCCTCCCTGAGTTTCACTGGAGTCCAGTTTAGGGTTGTATGGAAAAAAGTTGGGAAGAAAATGATGGAAAATGTGGCATGGGAGACCCCTGGTAACAGCCTGAGTTCAGAATTCAGCCTAGAAGACAGTGGCTTTTGGTGTTTTGGGGGAGGGGAGTCGGGGACTCTCCTCTCAGGAAGTGATAATCATGGCTGCCTCCTCAGAAAACACACATACCAACAAACTGACTTTCACTGCCCTCCTCCAACTCATTCAGGCTAAAGCTCCTGCTACAAAGACAAGTGACTAGAAAGTCAAAAAAATTTTCTTGCAAAAATATTTTTCATAAAAATGTTATTTATGTTAACATGTAATGGGTGTTATTGTTATTATTAAATGAATTAATAAATACTTTTAAATTTTCAGTTTTAATTTCTAAAACATTGACTCCACCACCTACACCTATGGGACCTCAGCAAGCCTGGTCCCTGTCTCTGCAACGTGGGGGGGGGAGGGTGGCAGGGGAACATAAAGGGAGAGATTATAAAGAGAACGACGTTATTACTAAAGGTAGAAGGTGTCAAAATAAGCTAACAAGTTGGAGAGAGAATAGTTCAGCTTTCTTTTCAGAAACAGATATTATGTAAGAGTTGCTGTAGCGACTTTCAAACAAAGCTAAACTGAAGCAGGATATGTAAAATACATACCAAAGAACACCACTCCAACAACCTTTAATATGTTTAAAACAAATCACTTGACAAAAAGCATTAACACTTTTTAAAACGTAACTTTGGACACAGTACACAAACTAACTAAAACAACAACAAAAACACCATCGCAGGGTCTGATCCTCCAAAAAGGACTTGAGGAATCTCTGAGCAATTTATTAAGGTTCTAAATATTTATAAAATGTGCCTAGTTATGTTTCTGCAGATTTGAATGTGACACTGAGAACAGCTGCTCAAAGATGAGTTCCCTCTGTCAATCTCCAGAGTTTTCCAACTTCAAGTTACCCATGAGCCCATGTGTGGCCTCACTCCTTAAAATGTGCTATGAAATAAAGCAGCAGTACGTCCTGAGCAGAACCTTTTATTTCTAGAACACGTGTGGATAAGCAAGTCAAATTTAAACATTCTATTTGCAAGAGAAAAAAAGAAAAGAAAAATGTACCAATACACATCATTCAAAGAGTAGAAATTTCTAGAAAAAAGCAAAAGTTGCAGAATAGCAGTTATGACCTTTCATGGTATTTTGTGACATTGAAGGACATATCCTGCCTTCCATCTTGCAGGGAATACTTCTTTCAAAAGGGGTCATGCCTAATCTATCCCATAGAGTTAAAAATGGCCAAATCTGAAACTCACCAAGTCATTTTAGAGATGAGGAAATAAGGCCACAGAAGTTAGGCGACATCATTTAGGGCCATCAGGAGTCAGCATTTTTATTATCTAACCCCCAATGCTGAAATACTTTCCTTTACACCACTCTATCCTTTACTGCAGGACTTCGTATTTCTTACTAAAAACCGCTGCCATCAAATGTTCCCTTGCTTTAACCAAAAAGTGTTCTGCAATGTAAGCCACTTGCTCCTTTGTTCTCTGTGTGCATAGATTATACCCAGCCAGGATTTTAGTATAAGGACCTTCCCCATACTTGAAGTGGTGAATTAAGTCAACCGTAGGCTTTTCTCTGTTGGAATTATTTCCCAAACCTGGCCCCTCTGCCCTGGGCGTGCACCTGTTCTGCACATCTCTCAGGCTGTGCAGCTCTGCATGTGGGAACTGTCCTAAGACGGGGGAGTTCACAGCGTAACCTGAGCAAATGCTGACTGCGAAGGTGACATGATATTAAAAAGGTTTGAGGAGCAGCATGAGAATAGCACACCTCTTTGAATAGTTCAGGTTGAAATATTCAAGTTTCGAGTAACACTGAGAGACAGGAGAGGAGAAGCGTGCACAATAATGGTTTAATTCACCTGCGTGAGTCAATCATATTTGGTAAGTGGGTAGAACTAGAAGTGAAAGAGCGAGATGAAGACTGAGGGGAGAGGAACAACAATAAGAAAGTAACAGTCCACTCAAAGTTCAGATGAACTGAAGAGCATTGATTTGTATCCTGCAAAAATAATTTACACAGTGATCTGCCAAGTGTCAAGCTTAATATGCCATGTTGCCTCTGGTATCCTTAGAGGAAGTAGTGAAGGGCCCAACATTTCAGTGTTTTTCAGTGGTAATTTCAAGCTCTGTAGCTCCAGGTCTTAGTCAGTTGTGCTAGAAAAAATACAGAAAGACAAGTGGGGCATCACACTCAGATACTGCAGGCCACACCTCAAGTCTTAAGCAACTGACAGCCTAGGAACCCAATCCACCTTAAAAACACACATTTTACATATTAGTGTGTTGGTGTTTTTGAGTTACTGATGGATTTTTCAGGTTCAAACTTTACATTATCCATCCTTACAGCCAGATTCTTTCTGCTAAAATAGGAATAAATGAATCATACACACTGACATTTCTTTGTGACACTAACAGTGAGAGGAGACAGGTACTTGAGCAAGAAAAGTTCGGGGGAGCACTAGGAACTCTCAGAAGTTTCAATGAAAGATCAATAAACCAAAAAAAAAAAAAAAGAAAAAGCATACACCCTTGCACAGCAGCTAAATTTCATTTAAATCAATTTAGTCAAAAGAGTGACACGGAAGTAAGCAAGCCAAAAGCAAGGAGGCCACAGAAAAGCCTGACTGTCTGCTGTGAAGAATGGGCCGGGAGAGCCAGCACAAATAACCAAGAATTACTGATATCTAAGGGATCTTCTGGATTTCTGCTTTTCGCTTTAGGGAAGACAAGAGATTTGCTGGAATAAACCACCTGCTGAAAAGAAGAGAGGCTTAGAACACACCAAATGATAAGGAAAAGATAACCTAGGACAAAAAAAAAAGGCTACGGCAGATCCTCACTATTAACTGTGTTTCTCAGACAGAACTGAACTCATCCTGATTTGGCTTACAGGAAGGGGCCTGACACTTGCAAATTAATGTCATCTGTGATAAGACCAGGGACCTCAATGATCCAGCTCTAGAGAACTTGACACTAAAATAAGAGGCTTCCCGGTCACCAAAGATTCAAAAGGGCTTATTACCTGTGCCTGGTCCACAGCTCCTAGGCCCTTAGCTCGAGGTGATGTAGTTCAACAGCTAGTCACAGGGAAGAGAGCAAAGCAAAGTGCTGGCTCTGCGAATGCTCTCCAAGTACCACTGTGTCAAGGATCCACATCCACCCCATCAGGTAGACACAATCCTCACTGAGCATCCCAGCTGTTCCTCAGTGAGCCCAAAGCCAGGAAGCAAAAGAAGTCAGAACTGGCCAACGTAGAGACAGAAAAAAATGTGAAAGATGATAGCAGACTGTACAAAATACCCAAACTAGATAAACCAAAATATACCAACACTATTGAGGAAAGAGGCTAAGGGGATCAGACATCAACAGAGAAAAGGAGCTATGGCAGGACACCAGCAGCAAAGACTGCAGGGAAGAAAGCAAGGTGATGGAAGAAGAATGAGCCACTGAGACAGGGACCTGGCCACTTGCAAAGGACGGAAGGGGGAGGATCCGAAAGGTAAAAGGAACAGGAACAATTCCAGTGGGAGAGAGCCTGTGAAACCAGTCTCTACAGGGCTGCTAGACTTGAGGAGGGGGCGGAGGGGAATGAACTTATAAAAATACCAGCTGCAGAGATATGCACAACTTTCATAAAAACATTCATATTTTCCCAAGGTGGATTAATAAAAATCTAAATAACTAAAATTGAGAGTGAGGAAAGACACTAGAAAAAAAATTTCATATAGGGAAACATTTTGGAAGACCCTAGGTTTTATCACCCTCAGTTTTTCTAGGCTAAGTTAAAAATTCTTCATTAAAAAAACGTAACGTGAATATTTGAGAACAGTTACCTCTGATTCTATTATGTCTTGTCCTTCTTTTGAACTTTTTCCACTTTTTCCTGCTTTTGGTGATTCCTGGGAAAGATCAAGCATAATCAATTAAGCTTATCAATTTTTAGACTGCTAAACATCAGATAAACCAAAATGCAGTTTTCAAATTGATTTATACAAAACCAGGACTTCTGACAGTTTTAATCAATACCATCAAGAACTTCTACATCATACTGCTTAGTTACAGAGACAATATTGTGATGGGACACCGCCCTACCCCCCTAAATTCAGATTCTCCTTGTTTTCTTTACCTGTATTTGGCGCTGAAAACGTTAACCAAAAGCAGATAAACCCAAATTTATACAGTGCTCTCAGCATTCTGACCGATCCACATCACATCGCTTTCTTTCCTCCCACCCTAAACTCTGTGAGCGGGATGTCTGAGGTGATACTGAAGCGCTACAGAGCTCCAGCTGAAGCAAACACATACCCCCCCCATGCAAACGCAGCACACTCACAGCCACCGTCGCCGCCACCCAGGATAATAATAGTATTTCAGAGCCCCAGAGCCGTCCTCTGAGAGCAGACGATTCTTCACAACCCTCAAGCGGGATCCATTCGCTCCCGTTCTTCCCGGCCGGGGGTCCCTCCTCGGGGTCTGCGGCCCCCACCCTAAAGACCCTGCCCACTCCGCGAGACAAGGTCAACCACCTCCGCGGCCGCACCTGCCCCCTCACGCCCCCCGCGCACGTTGCCCGGGGGCGGGCGCCCACGCCGCCCCCGACTCCGGCCGCGCCCCCC